GTGTCACAGGAAGAGGGAGTGAGAAAGGAAACAGAAGGGTTGATTATAAAGAGGAATGGGGAGAAAGAAGTAGAGGAGAAAGAAATGCAGGTGGAAGTTTTTTTGGTAGAAGAAGGAAAGGGACAGGAAGAGGAGGAGTTAACATTACTGGAATGGGAGGAGGATAAAAAGGAGGGGGGAAAGGGAGAGTATTCTTTGTACCACGGAAAGGGATGAAAGAGGAAGGGGAATCTACTTATGGAAAGGCTCGTGAGTTATTGATTTACCCAGCCTGAAAGTAGGGGGATTACTACCTGATCCTGACCAGAAGGAAAAGAAAGCAACAATAACAGGAATTCAAGAATGGACGGTGGTGGTTTTCCCGAGAGGGCAAGGTCACTGGAGGAGGGTGATCCGACCTGAGGCATCATTCAATCGACCGCCGTGCCGGGGCGGGGGGAGGATTGGGCTCGACATCCTTGCTGTGGCACAATCTGTGCTGTGAGGAGCGCTCCATTAAGGAAGCCCACGGACAAAGAATGGTTCGGGCCAGCCCCACAATAGACTCTCCAAAGTTACCTTTTGAATTTTTACCATCACCTTATGAACAGTTACCCAATTTGAGCTGTTTTGACCCTGTTGAAGTTGTCGTCCAATCTCCAAATGTTAAATCAAATAAATATGTTAATCGTTCAGATGAGTTTTCTTGGTTATTTCCCGCCAAAAAAGAGGAACTGCTTCAAAACTCAAATGAACCTAATCACACTCCCCCATACCCAGTTTGAACTCAGTGTTTTTTTGTAAAGGATATTGCTGAAGTTGGAGACCAAAGGGACACCTTTGCTGCAGATGCCTGGAAATATTGTCTGTGGTTCAGCTTAGTCTATAATGACTTGTGCTTATGAGGCTTCTCTGCTCTGGCCCTTAGCAGAGGAGTGGATGAATTATTTCTCAGGCACAGAGGCTTGAAGATGAATAGGACTGAGACAGTGGTTGTAATTTGAAGGCAATTATAGAGCAAATAGGATTCTCATTAGTAGCCTTAATCATAACCTCACCTCTTTTTAGCCGTAGACACATGGAAGATATTTAAAATTCAAGAAAAAAATGCCAGTTGATTTCAAGGTGCATGGGGATGTTTGAAGTGTAATAGATCAAACCTTGACAGCCTTGGTTGTTGAGAGACTGGTCAGCCAAAGAGACTGAGATGGAAGAAAGCAAACTTTCTAAGATGTTCTAATTTAGCTAAGCTGTACATAAGTAATTCTTCTAATCTTTTCCCCCAAGCTAGTTGATCCCAGGCATTTAATCATTTTAGTTGTTTCTCTCTGAACTCTCTCCAGGCTGTCAATATATTTTGTTGTTGAGGTATCCATAATGGGTACATAATATTGGGGGTGTAGTTCTTGATTGTGCACTTGTAGGATGATCGCTCTTTGATCATTTTTAAAAGTTTCATGTCATCCTGCATTTTTTTTTTTACAAAATGTAGGATTGTGATTGCTCGGCATATTTAGTGAAACCGGTTCCCATTTTTCTAAAATGACAGCCAGAATAAAAATTAGCAGCAGTCACGGAATGTAACTGCTCTGTGGGCAGAATGTTCTCTCTGGGTTTATTTCAGCAATCTCTAGCCTGCAGTTAACACAAGGTTTTTAAAAGGCCCAATTTTTTAAAAAAAGCTTACATGTGCGCAGAGGGTAACAAATACTGTATCTCTTTCTTCATTTGGCATAAAAAAACAGCCATGCATATAATGACCCATCATGTGCATGGGAAAAAAAACAGGATTTTGGCCCCTAGGTTTCTGCAAAAACACCAGCAACAACCTTTTTTAAAAAAAAATTCAGAGGGAAGTGAATGTGTGTTAACGCAAGGAAGTGCCTTCTCCTGAGTCAGCATGCATCCATTTACAGTGGTGCCTTGACTTGACTTATGAACGTCCCTACTTACTACCATTTCGAGTTATGACCAGCTCTGGCCACAAAATTTTGCTTCTACTTGCGACCAGAGCTTCCACTTACGAATAGGAAAGGGCAGGGGGAAAAGGAGGGAAACTCAAATTTCTAACTGTAGGTGGCAACAAAGCTGCTTCTTTGTAGCTCTTTCACCCCAGCAGTTAGAGAGTGTGGGATCAGAGAAGGCTGCCTGGTAAGGTAAGATGCTGTGTTCTGCTTTTTAAAAATAGTTCTGGGTGTTTTTGCAGTGTGGTTTTGGGCTGGGGGGTTATGTTTCTGTGTTGTGATGGGTCTTGGGCGGTTTGTTTTGAGAGTACCCCCCATTTCTGATGGGTCTTGGGGGCTTTGGTTGCTTTTTGGGGTTTTCCCCTTTTCCGATGGGTCTTGCATGCTTCCCTTGCTTTTTCCTTTGTTCTCTTTGCATTTCCGACCTGCTCCCTTTATTCTCTGTGCATTTCCAAACTGCTCTGTTTGTTTTTTGTGCATTTCCGATAGGTCTTGCATGCTTTTCTCTTTTTTCTCCCTTTGGGGGGAAGGGATTAATCGTGTTTCCAATTTCGCAGTGATTTTTTGTTTGTGTGATTTTTTTTCTTCTGCTGGAACGGATTAATTGCACTTCAATGGGAAATGGTGCTTTGACTTACGACCATTTCAAATTTCGACCATCTTCCACAACCAATTAAGTTTGTAAGTCAAGGCACCACTGTAGTTCAGTGCAGCATCATTTGATAAGCAGCAGCCAGGCAGGGTCATCGTCCAGGCTTTTCTCAGTCTTCATATCCTTAAAACCCGATTTTAAAAAAATAGTGATTTAATTGTCTGGGATGCAACACATTTACATCCTAGATACTGAATGATGGCTCCTCCAAAAACAAGCGACTGGGCCACATTGCAAACCACATTTCAAGCTCAAGATACTGTTCCAAAAGCATTTTGTGATGTAGCGTGGGATTTTTTGAAAGGGACAGAGGGAGGAAAGGAAATGCCAGCCCGCTAGGTTTGTTAAAACTCTCAGGCAACCCTGAGCACAGGCTGCTGTCAAAAACTGCATCCCTGGATTGCATTTTCTTTTCTCCATAGCATCAAACAGCATTCTTCCTCTGTCCTGATGTCACACTGTCCGTATGTGCATGCATGCATTCCCCTCTCCCATCACTGTTAGTGCTGACTTACCACTATTAGGAGTTGGAACGTTACTTCTCTCTGCCATGAGAAGAACTGGTGGTGGGGTGGATACTCCGTGCTACGAAAGGTGGGGATTTCGCTCTGAGATGCCGTTTTTGGCAATGGGAATTTCTCTCTGGGAATGTATAGCTCTGCCCTAAGTTTCCAGTAATTGCAGTGAGAAATTGAGATTTCTGTCTTTTATGGATGTCTTTTCAGCCACAGGATTGCGGCTGAAGAAACATTTAATTTGAATCTGAGTTTGGGTTAACAATTTAATGTGGTGAAAAAAGTTAAAGGGACCACCCAGTAAGTTGCTTGCTTCTTTAGAAATGAAACTGTCAGAGCTTAGTTATGATTGATGATTTAAGCCAAATCTTTAAAAAGTCTAATACCAGGTTATATCTGAGGGGTGTTTTTTTTAAAGCCCTTACTGAATGCTCTGACTTTGTTTGGACAATCCTACTTTAAGGTTCCCTTCTTGTGTCAACAAGAATGCTTGTCTGTCATGGGAATAAGGGAGGTGTTTAAATGTCTGAAAACATTCTGGCAACTGAAGAATGAAAGGATTAGGAAAAAGAAATCGAATAACCAGAGGTGGAAATGGTGGTGCTACCAATGTTTATCATTTGTTAATGACCTTACATCATGCTTTCTTGAACATTAGCCCTGTTTATTCTGAAGATTGTAGCTATTTAACCTTTTCAGCTATATTTCAGATTTAGCAACCTGAAACAGGATACATTTACTCACACAAAAGTTCAGCATTCATCAGGGTTTACATGCACAAGTAACCACATGTAAGCCAGCAGTATTTGAAAACCAGTATGATATTCTACCATACTTTCAGAATTTTCCAATGAGAAATTGTGGGTGGCTGTGTTTTTGTTTTGTTTTTGTGTGTTTGTTTGTTTTGCAAACTTGAGACTATTCCTACCCGCTTTTTCAGTGTCATCTAGTAATGGTTTTAAAATCACCATTTGACTAGGAAGTTATTTTTTGTAGCCCAGTTTTGAAATTTAAATGTGCTTATTATGGCTTAGTGGTGCACAGCCTGCATGCAGTCCGCCAGTATCACTTTCACAATCCTCCAGCATCCTCCAGCTGACCCAAACCACCAAAACATTTTTTTTAAAAAGATTGAAACCAATTTGCTCCTTATGTCCCTTGTGCATTCCAGTGGTTGTGGAGGACAATTCTAACACATTTTGAGGGCTGCCAAAAACCTGGAACTCCCATATGCCCCCCCCAATTTTTAAAGAAATGGCTGCCAGAGGGTGTGTTGAAGCTTTTTCAATTAATGTTTTTAAAAATAAAAACATCAAAGACAGCAATAAGTAATTTTGCCCTAGAACAGAACAAGAGAAGTCAGTGGCAGAAATCCTGTTGGCATAACTATATATTTGTGAAAGGCTTATGGCATCTTGGCAGCAGTGATTTCCAATAATGAAAGACTTCCTCCTCCCACCCTGTAGATTCTATGTAATGAAGGGGGGTCATTGGAGAGCTGTGTAAATCCTGGGCAGAGGTTGGACATGTCTAACTTCCAACATTTCCCCCTGCTGATGATATCATCAGCCTTCCGCAGGTGTAGTTACACCAACAGGATGCCACTGAGCATACATTAAAAGAGCAGGTGCACCGTCTATCCAGAAACAATATGATCCAAGTCATATGGAAATAGAGCTGAGAAGCAAAAAGTGTGGTGGCACCTTCAATTGAAATGTAATTTTTCATCCCTGGTGTGATGCAACAGCATTGTCCCGTCATGTGTCCCATAGTGCTTATAGTTACCTGTATGTGTGCATACCTGTGCACTTGCACAGAAAGGTGAGCGTGTATGTCTTGGCCATTATGGTTTTCTATACAAATTATTTTAAATGTTTATTTTGGTTACAGAATAAAGGACTGAAAAGGATTTTCTCAGGCATCCAACCAACTGGAATCCCTCATCTGGGAAATTATCTTGGTGCCATCACAAGTTGGGTGACGCTGCAGGAAAAATGCAGCTCCGTCTTGTACAGCATTGTCGACCTCCACTCCCTCACGGTACCGAGAAATCCGGACGTCTTACGCACAGGCATCCTGGACATCACGGCTGTTCTCCTTGCCTGTGGAATAAATCCACAGAAGTGTTTGCTTTTCCAGCAGTCTCAGGTATCCAAATTCTTTCTCTCTTTCCATCCAACTATCTGGTTTATCAATCCCATTTGATATGTCTCATGCATGACTGTGTGGGCCAGAATGCATCATGTAGTAAGGCCACGGAGTACCCGTCTATTCGTTACAGAAGAGTCTTCAGATAATTTCTGAGGCTATTTACTGTAGTTGGTCATTCAACAAAGGTGCTCATCACCTTGCCAACAAATAATAAATATTTCCACTAGTGAGTCAGAAGCAGTGAGGGCAAGAAGAGCCTCAAATCATATGTCTGTGTTGATTTGCATTCTTTCTGGAAAAGGAATGCAGGGATATATGTGGTGCAGCTTAATAAAGGAGGAGCTAAACCAGTTCCTCTGCAGCCTTCATTCCTATTTGCCTGTGGTTTGGAGGGAAGGACACTTCACCATGGCAATGTGGTGTAAGTGTGTGGAAGGGCTTAGAACTGTGTTACAGTGTGTGTGAGGCAGGAAGGATGCCCTGCTCTGGCCGTGGCAGGCCTAGCAATCTCAAGAACAAGCGGCACAGCAGTGGCAAGATTAACATCACTAGAGAGAGACTGCTTCAACAGACAATAAGAACACACTAAGTTACCAGAAATGAGATGGTTTATCACTGAAATATGGGGACTTAAAAGCTGGACTGTATTGTAGCCCACACATATGTGCTGCCTCTGTGTTTGATAAGCAGAACGTGGTTCAAAGGCCTGCCAAGCTTGTCTCTAGCCAGTGTGCCGTTTTACAAATGTGCTGAATCTTGCAGTGTATGGCTGGGTGAGGTAGTGGCTAAGTGTACCAGATGAGTTTTTGATCGCTTCCTTCCTATCCCATCCTTGACAACATACAATCCTTCCCACGCAGGCTTATTTACAAATGACTCCCTGTGGGTTCACAGGGACCTCCTTCCCAGCAAGCATGCAGCAGACTGCAGATGAAGCTCACCAGTAACACCCACTTTGTCTCCTGGCCTGTGGTCCTCTGCCTGGGTTAAGGAGCTGACGGACACCCAGGAATGTTTTGTCTCTTTTAGAACAACCCTGGGGGCCGAGAAGGCATGCATGCATTTCTTAGCCAGATTTTAGCCACCTTCATATAAGATCTGCAGCCATTTTTATCACACAAGTGGCTCTGTTTTCTTACAGACCTTTGAATCTGGAGTTCTCTTTGGAGCAGATCCCAAAATTAAGACATCATATTTCACTCACACTTTAACAGAAAGGGAAATAAACAAAAGTCTGTCCTTTGTGCCAAAAAGAGGGTTTTTTTTAACTAGGCAAAACTAAAACAAACTGTATGTAGACCAGCCAAATGTTAGACTCTGCCAAAATGACAGGCAGTGTGTGTGTGTTTGTTACTGACTTTATGGGGTGTTAATTTCTTTTATACATACAACAAACCATACAAGAAGCACAATAACTCTGGAGTAGATCCTGTTCTTGTAGCTAATGTTTCAGATGTTTATAAATGTTGAAATGCACCATGTCTTTGAAATATTTGTTTGCAGAGCACTTTGAGAACAGGCCTGTTCTTAAAACCGATGATCAAATACTGCATCCAGTTTCCAGGAAGCAATTTTTTCAGCCCTCTAGAGCTAAACCTGGGTTTTAACTGACTCTGCATAAAACCCTCCTCTTTCTACTTCAGATTGCAAAATGGCTGCAAATCTTTTTTTCCCCATCTAATTCAAGGGTGGCCCCTTTCAAATACTAAAGAGCAATCCGAAATTTGGGGTAATTGCAACCATGGTCCTTTTATAAATCACTTTTTAGAGAAAGGACCTTGCAGCAGAAAGCCAGCCTTTTTAACTGTTTCTCTCCCCTCTCCAGCAATTGGCTGTATAAGGGTTGTACAATATTGGGTTCAGGAGATATGGATTTCAGTTCTTCTCCTTGTCAGGCTTGTTGGTTGACTTGGGTGAGAGTTCTTGCAGGAATAAAATGGAAAAAGCAATGCTATGCTGTCTCCGTTCCTTGCAGGAAGGAATGGGGGAACCCATGTGTGAAATTTATTCAAGCCTCAGTGTAATGGGCTCAATTGATTATTTAAAGTCGACTTGTTTTTTTGTAAGAGAAAAAGATGGTGATAAACAAGCTATGAATATAAAAGCTGTATAAAACAAATATATAAAGAATGGGTCATCAGAAGTGCTTAAACCATACCATTACTCTTAAAAGTCTGGATCCAGAAAGTTTGGGTCCAAAATTAAAATGAATATATTGAATGAATGTTGCATCTATAGGGAGAAAAATTAGTTATTTGTCCTATAAAGTCCCCATTGATCATCAAGAAAGAATGGAATCCTGATGCATGTAACACTGGTTGGAAATAAGTAGGCAGAGAAACAGTTCTGTCATGGAGATGGCCGATCCAGCCTTTTGACAGGTTGAAATTTAACATTTTTGGAATAAAAGAGATGTTGGAAAGGCTCTGTGTTACATAGGAGAGCAGAATTCCGCTCCTAAATCTGAACAACAGACACTGAATTGGAGCTCAGAATCTCTGCAAGGAGTTACACCAGCTCACATCTTGGGCGCCATGGAGATAGATAGTTTCCTGTAGGAAACAAATAAGGGGATTTATAATGCCAGTGTTCTTGCAAGTATTTTTAGTAATGCCTCAGGAAATTTCTATAGAGGAAGATAGTATCTGTACTGAAAACGGGCTCTCCCATCAGGAGATGCAATCATACCATGTTTGATTGTTGCCACTGTACTAAGTTTCCAGGCTGCCCCCACCTTTGCACTGAAAGGCTCTTATACGTGTAGGATCAGGGCCCCTCATAGTCACTTTCGAGGTCTGTTCAGGCCAGGATGTTGACATGGAAGCATTTCTCTTACCTTGCATGTGCTTGTGCTCCTGTGTTGCCTGGAACATAAGGTAAAGAATGAGGATGTATCGTGGCGCAGTGGTTAAAACGCTGTACTGCAGCTAAAACTGTGCTCACGACCTGGGGTTCAAATCCCAGGTAGCCGGCTCAAGGTTGACTCAGCCTTCCATCCTTCCGAGGTCGGTAAAATGAGTACCCAGCTTGCTGGGGGGGCAATGTGTAGCCTTTATAATTAAAATTGTAAACCGCCCGGAGAGTGCTTGTAGCGCTATGGGGCGGTATATAAGTCCAATAAATAAATAATAAATAATCATTTTCACCATGTCTTTCTCCCCATAAATCAGAATAACAAGATAGAAATCATTATAGTGGTGGCGGGCAGGATAGAGAAGGGGCAAACTGCAGTTTGGAGCTTCCAGCAATTTCTCTGTCTCTCATGACTTGCACTACTTGTGGGAAGGATCCATAGCTCAGTGGTGGCTCACATACTTTGCATGCAGAAGTTCTCACATCAAATGGTTGACAGCTCCAGTTCAAAAAGCTCTCAGGTAGTATTGCTGGGGGAAACACCCGCATGACAAATGCGTGTGAACTGAACAGGATATACTGGGCTAGATAAACCAAGTGATTTGTTCATTTGGTTTGGAAAGGCCATGATTTTGTTGTCAAAAACAATTTACAAGCTTAAGCTCTTGGCCCCTTCCTCCCCTCGTGCCTGCAGGGCTTCCCGCCTTCACTTTACATAGCGGGCAGTGATATCCAAAACAGACAAATAGTGTTTACCACAAACCAAGGAGTGGAACCCATGGACAATCATGACCGTCCTGGAAAACAACTTTATGTGTTATTATGCTTTTCTCTTTTATTGGAACTGAGGACTGTTTTCAGTGTGAGAATATTGTTGTTTAGTCGTTAAGCCATGTCCGACTCTTCAAGACCCCATGGACCAGAGCAAGCCAGGCCCTCCTGTCTTCCACTGCCTCCCCGAGTTGGGTCAAATTCATGTGAGCACTCAGGGTTGATTTCCTTCAGAATTGATAGGATTGTTCTCCTTGCAGTCCAGGGGACTCTCAAGAGCCTCCTCCAGCACCACAATTCAAGAGCATCAATTCTTTGGCAGTTGGCCTTCTTTATGGCCCAGCTCTCACTTCCATACATCACTACTGGAAAAACCATAGCTCTGACTATGCGGACCTTTGTCAGCAAGATGATGTCTCTGCTTTTTAAGATGCTGTCTAGGTTTGTCATCGTTTTCCTCCCAAGTGAGAATATACTGTGTGTGATTTCATGTTCTGATTTGGGTTTCAGGTACCTGAACATTCAGAACTTGGCTGGATTCTGGGGTGTTTCACAAGCATGTCACGTCTGCAGCACTTTCCTCAGTGGAAGGTAAAGTTTTGGGAAGGGTATCGTGGCTAAACCAGCTCGGGAGGCCTCACCTTCCCTTTTCACATCCCACCCAGCTTCCAGCGGTGTTCGGTGCACGTTGCTCATCCATGGAGCAGGATTTCAATACACCGAGAAGGAGGAGCAAGGCCAAGCAGGAATAGAGGGCACCCAGAGAAAGAGACTTCCCTTCTGTCCCGTGGCCCTTGCAGGGCTAGCCCCATGAGGTTGACATCATCTTCTGTTGATCTGAGCATTCTGTACATACAGGAATAGCTGGTGTCCCATATTTTGTCAGAATGAAACCAGAGTTCCAATGATAATGCTGACTTCATCTTGCTGTGAATATTTTTCAGATGATTCATGTTCATACAACTTCTTGACTGGGTGGAGTTTGCTGTTTCAGTGATAACAGGGCCACAACACACATCTAAATCTGTTTCTCTTTCCCTCTGTCTCTCTCTCTCTTTGGTGAACCCTCCCAATGAAGTGAAAGGATGCCTTAATAAAAATGAGAAATCTTGAAGTCCATCTGCCATAATCCACCTTTTGTAGTGGCAAAAGTAGTCAGCAGGAGTGGTTTCATGACTGCTCAGCAAGACTACTCAATAGCAGTTCCACTGCAGATGCCAACCTTTTGCACCTTTACTCTCCAGAATTTAAGATGCTGTTTCTATCCTGTTTCCTGGAAAATAGGACCTAACCTGAAAATAAGCCCTAGTATGATTTTTCAGAATGCTAGTAATATGAGCCCTACCCCCCCCCCAAAAAAAAGCTTCAGTTAAGTGAAACCCTGCCCTCCACCATTGTGCAACAATTAGAAGAAAATGATATGACTATATTGGAATAAATGTAGGTAGCTGTACATGAAAAAAATAAAACACCCCCTGAAAATAAGCCCTAATGTGTTTTTTGGAGCAAAAATTAATATTAAAACCTGTCTTATTTTCAGGGAAACATGGTATGTATGTAATAACAATAACAGTGTGCCACCAAGTGAATTCCAGCATATGACAGTCCTTTCAAGAGTTTTGTAGATATAGAGTACTCAGGAGTACTCTCTATCTTCTGGGGGCACACTGGGACTATGCTGCTTGCCCACGGCTACACAGGCTGGCTCTTCTGCAAGGCAGAGTGGGGAATCAAACTTCCAACTTTTGGCTACAGAACACACTAAGCTAGCCAGGCAGCAGTTCCATATAAAAGCATAGATGAGAACAGGACAAGTCTCTGAAGCACGCTTAACGACCCTCCAGAAGTCACTCAACAACTTTCTCCCCCAGGCTTGCCCCCTCTTTCCCACAGGGAGAAGCTCTTACCTCGACTCAGCTACTGTTCAGAGATATATTTACTTTCCTCTGTGGGGAGGTTACAGCCTATGGAGGGGCCCATGAGCTGTATACTCCCCATGTCGGGTTTAAAATGTTTAACCAACTTGTTTGGGAGAGTTTTAAAATTCCATATGCAGCACTTCACCTTTTCATAGCACAGGAATATCGTAATATGGCCATATTTTGTTTGGGGTTAAAGAATGAAGACCCTAGACCCATACATATGCATTGTGTCTTACTATTATATCTTATTTCCTTCTGCAAATAGATAAAGAACACCAGCCAGATGAATGAAGGAACGGCTGGCCTCCTCACTTATCCTGTCCTCCAAGCTGCCGATATTCTTCTCTACAAGTAAGGATCTTCTGTTTCCATGAAGGTTGCTGTGATCCAGCAATGGAGGATTTAACAACGGAGGAACCGAGAATTGGAGATCTTTGGGATAACCTAGTCATTGTGTCTTTAGCTCCTTACTTCATCTCATTCTCACTGACAGGTTCTTTGGTGGGTGTTATGAGCAGCATCCAACTAGATGCTTTCCCCAGTAGAATTACATCCATGGGGGGAACAGGTTTGCCCACGGCCCCCCATGCCCAGCCATCATATCTGCTCCAACACAGTAGCATCCTCCTAGTGAGGTCCTTTGGGCTCTCTTTCTATGTTCTGCTGTTCCTGCCCCTCTTCTTTCTCATCATGGCTACCACTCACTTGTTAGGCAGGGAGCAAATTGTCAATGGCATCTAGTCCTCATCACTACTGCTGACTAGGACAAAGTGGGAGGTGGGCGAACAAGTAGGATGTAGTAGCAAAGTGAAAGAGGAGTAAGACCAGGAGACTGTTGTCATGGGCTCTTAGCTGGTGCCAGCTGTGTCAATCTAACACCCACCCTGTTGTGCAGAGGAAGGGGAACACTCTGGATCATGACTGGGGAGACTGTCAGGGAAGGAGGGAGAGAAGGACGAAAGGTTCTGTTGGATTATCATAGCTACAACTATAATTATAAACCAAGCAGAAGTAAAGGTATACCTACCTGCAGCTGTTCTTTATTGGAAGGTCCACACATGTTCCTATTGGAGAAGATCAAGTCCTTCATTTGGAGCTGACTCAAGATCTAGCCCGCCGCTTCAACAAGAAATATGGGGAATTTTTCCCAGTACCCAGATCCATATTAAGTGAGTCAGAAGTGTAAAACTCTTTCTCCTTGGTGCATTTTTCCAAGAAAATGTTTTGTCTTGTGCTGCTTTCCCACAGAATTTGAGAGGAAAGGGCAAGTGAAGCTTGTGAGCTTTAGTGTTATTTGTACCTGGCGAAGAGGAAATTGCTACAGTGCCTCTACAAAGAGACTGAAGATTGAAGGTGGATATATTCAGGACAGAAAAGCAATTGATCATTAAAGTTGAGCCAAGACCCACTTAATGAAATACGCATGTAGTATCATAACCATAACTCCTTGAATGTTATATTTCAAATTTAATGCATGGAGTACATCACGCAATGGCCAGAATCGTGCTGTGCAACTTTATGTCACGTAACATGTACGACATCATCAACTGCAGCCCTTTCCAGGGAATTAAAAGTTTCCTATTTTTCCTCCCTGCTTCCCCATTCTAGGGATCTTCAGGTATCCTTTTCCAGATATACTAAGGAAGCCTTTGGGAGCTGCAGGAGAGCTTTTTAATACTATAAAATTGCAGTTGCAGGTCCCAGTCCTGCTACTGGGATCCATGGGGCAATTTTTGGACATTGAAGAGTCCCACTCCCCATTCTCTGGCTTCTAAATCCTTCCCCCCAGGACCAAAGGGATCTCCTACAGAACCATGAGAGAGAAGGGATAGGAAACGTTTCATTCCTCCCAGAGGGCTGTGGTTGATGAGGTCCATCTTGTGCTGTGTCAAGGTGCACAAAGGGTCTTCTAATCCTTATACATGAACCTAGGAAGAAAACCATAGTATTCCAGTATCCTGGGAATGGTGGAGCTGAGATTTGGGCCAAGGTTTTTAACTTAGTTTTAGTCATTTTGATGTTGTCTTTGTATGTGGATTGTGATGTTTCATTTTGATTTTGTTTTTTTTTATCGCACTGTGAACCTCTCAGAGTGGCTTTGGTAGCCCGATGGGCAGTCCAAAAGTTGAATGAATGAATAAGATATTCTGATTCCTTTGCTACTGCCTTCCTTGCATAGTGATTTGGTGTAATTCTTTTCTTTCTTGATTGTAGGTGCAACAAAGAGGGTAAGGTCCCTTCGAGATCCCACCTCCAAGATGTCAAAATCAGACAATCAGGCATTAGCCACAGTGTTCCTAACTGACAGTCCTGAGGACATAAAGCTGAAATTTCGTAAGGCTGTCACAGACTTCACCTCTGAGATAACATATGACCCTGAAAACCGCCCTGGCGTCTCCAACCTGGTTACCATTCACTCTGCTATAACAGGGCTCAGCCAAGAAGAAGTGGTCCACCAGAGTACCGGCCTCCATACTGATCGTTATAAGACAATAGTAGCGGAAGCGGTCATTGAAAAATTTGCACCCATCAGGAATGAATTCAAGAGGCTGAAAGAAGACATACCTTACCTAGAGAAGGTTTTAAGGACCGGGGCAGAAAAGGCCAAAGAACTTGCAGGCCCTGTTTACTGGGAAATCAAAAAACTTGTGGGATTGCTCTGACCCTAAGGAGAAGCGGTCTTTGTTGTTTTTTCTTGAACCCATTGTCTTCTTGGAAATTCTCTTTGTTCTTTCGATTCACAAGAGGATTGGTAGCCAAATCATTCCCACAGCACCTTGCAAGGCAGAAGATATTCAAGTTCAAGGCCAACCTCTGTGTAGTTTCTCTCCTCCCACTGAATTATTTGAGCTGATTAAAAAAACCAGAACCTTGGCTTGATCAGACTGCTACTCTGAGAGGATGCCTCCCCCCCCCCAAGGAACATGTGCAAAAAGCACATAACCTCTGTGTGAATCTGAGATGTAGGTCTGGGTATCTGTTAGGCAAAAGAGCCAAAATCTAAAACCAAGGGTGGGTCGCACATTTGTCACACCACTAAAAATACAAAACAAGGGGGCTTTTCAGTTGCGGTAGGACCCTTCTTCACACTGGGCATTGCAAAACCTGAAGATGCGGCAGGAGGGAGGAATAGTCCAGGTGCTACAGTCTAAAGATGTTTGCTAAAGTCATATCCCAGGATGGGGCCTTCAAACCTGCTACATAGGTATCATATCTCACTTCAGGCAGTTTCTTTCCCCCCTTCTGTCATTCAAAGGCTAGCCCTTGCCACCGACCATAGCTGAGCGTTCTGCTAGTCTGTATAGGTTTTTGTATAAAATCTGTACCATGAGAGTGTTACAGAATACATGCATATGGGTACTCAATAATATACAGTCATGGCATGAATACAACAGCCCACGTCTCTGGATGCTTGAAGAGGAGAAGCTGAGAGTTTGTCTGTGACCTTCATATAAGTGAAACACAACTAAGTACAGTGGTGCCTAGACTTATGACCGTAATCCATTCCAGAAGATGGACGTAACTCAAAATGGTTGCAAGATGAAGCACCATTTTCCATAGGAATGCATTGAAATGCAACTAATCTGTTCCAGCCGAAGGAAAAAAATCACCAAAAAATAAAAATAAAATAAAAATCACTGCAAGACTCATTGGAAATACGATTACCATATTTTTCGCTCCATAGGACGCACCTCTCCATAAGACGTATCTCATTTTTAGGGGAGGAAAACAGGAAAAATATTCTGGCAATTTTGCCTCGCTGGGCCCGTGGGTGTGGAGGTGGGGGGCCTTGGAAGGGTCCAAGAGTGCCTTCCAGGAGGCTCCCCCTGCCCCCCCGCGGGGCCAGCGAGGCAAAATCACCAGCTTCCATGACCCTTTTGAGGCTTTCCAAGCCTCAGAAGGGTCCTGGAAGGTTACAATTTCACCCCTGCTGGCCGTGGGGGTTGGGGGGAGCCACCGAAGGGTTCTGGAAGGCACTCTTGGACCCTTTTGGGGTTCCCCCTGCCCCCCGAGGCCAGCGGGGGCAAAATTGCCAGCTTCCAGGACCTTTCTGAAGCTTTCCAAGCCTCAGAAAGGTCCTGGAAGTTCGCAATTTCACCCCCACTGGCCCCGTGGGAGTGGGGGAGCCTTCCAGGAACCTTCTGAGGCTTTCCAAGCCTCAGAAGGGTCCTGGAAGGTCGCAATTTTGCCCCCACTGGCCCCGCGGGGGATGGGGGTAGAGGGAGTCTCCAAAGGGTCCTGGAAGGCACTCTTGGACCCTTTGGAGGCTCCCCCCACCATCCCCCTGATGGGCCCTGCGGAGTGCTATTTTATAATATTCAGTCCATAAGACACAGACATTTCACACACACACACACACACACACATACTTTTTTGGGGTGGGGGAAGTGCATCTTATAAAACGAAAAATGCGGTAATCCCTTCTGGCTGAAGTGAGGGGGGGAGAAAAGCAATCAGGCGTGCAAGACCTATTGGAAATGCACAGAAAACAAATAGAGCCAATCGGAAATGCATAGAGAACAAAGGGGGCAGGTTGGAAATGCAAAGAGAACAAAGGAAAAAGCAAGAGAAGGATGCAGGACGCATCGGAAATGGGAAAAAACCAAAGCAACCAGCCCCCCAAGACCCGTCAGAAAAGGGGGAAACCAACAATCCCCCAAGACCCATTGGAAATGGGGGAAAATGCTAATAAACAAACCCCCCAAGACCCAACATAGCACAGAAACGTAACCCCCCCAGCTCAAAACCATGCTGCAAAAACACCCAGAACAGTTTTTAAAAAGCAGAAAACAGCACCTTACCTTACTAGGCAGCCCGAAGCCTCCCTGCAAACACACACACATGCTCACTCAGAAGCAGAAGCGAAGCAGTCCCAAGCCTCCTCTGATGCACACTCTCTAACTGCTGGGGCAAAAGAGCTACAAAGAAGCAGCCTTGTCGCCACCTACAGTTAGAAAAGTGAATTTCCCGCCTTTTTCCTCTGCCTTTTTCTGTTTGTAAGTGGAAGCTCCGGTCGCAAGTAGAAGCAAAATTTTGTGGCCTGAGCCAGTCGTAACTTGAAATTGTCGTAAGTAGGGATGTTTGTAAGTCGAGGCACCACTGTATTCAGTACTTCTGTATCTGTGCCAGAGTACACAAGGGTTGATAGTTGCACTTCCTAAGATGTCAGTAGAAACTGAATACTGTTGCTGGATTTCATTCTTATGTCTTTTAAGCAATAATGTTTAGGAGTTTAATTGGAGTACAATTTACCCTGAAAACAGAGAGATGGTTCAGGATAGGGAAGCTGTTTTTTTATTATTATTATTTTATTTGTACTGTCATGTGTAACAAAATTAATCCTGAACAGGACTTCTTCAGGCCTACTTTACTTATTGCCAAAGAATAGGCTGAGTTTTCAAGAAAGGTATGGCGAGACCCTAGTTCCTTGAAAGCCACATTGGCCAGGATCCTATTGTGCTACATTATCATGTAACAGCAATCTCACAAACACGAGAAGATGGTCTGCCAGCAGTGTCTTGCATGTACTGTTGTCCTGTAGCTGTGCAATGAGGTACAGTATGTCGTTGGTTGTGCAAAAGGATGCATGACTGGCAACCAGGAAACTATAAAAATTGTACATTTACCTATATGGTATTTTGCAGTAGGAGTTTGGCCACTGCTACAAGTTCATTGGCTCTGTGTGTTTATTTACTTCGCAATCCTGGAGCCCTTTTCTCATCACTTGCACCTATGTACCTGTGCCAGGTCACAATTTGGAGAGTGTTCAAGTAACATCAGAATCCCATCAGAAATTAGAAATCAAAGGGCCACTGCTTCATCCATCGGTTCCTCTTCATTAGTTTTACTTCCACCTTACACTAGGGATGTGGTGGCGCTGTGAGTTAAACTGCTGAAACCTCTGCTGTAACGTCAGAAGACCTGCTAGCAATATATACAGCATGCAAATGAAATAAATAGTTCCTCCCGACAGAAGATTAGCATGGCCCCTGCACAAGGATGACATGCAAATTCGTGAAGCGTTCCATATTTTTTTAGAGGGATATGGTGGCGCTGCGGGTCAAACCGCAGAAGCCACTGTGCTGCAGGGTCAGAAGACATGCAGTTGTAAGATTGAATCCACGCGATGGAGTGAGCCCCTATCACTTGTCCCAGCTCCCGCCAACCTAGTGGTTCGAAAGCATGCAAATGCAAGTAGATAAATAGGTACCACCACGGTGGGAAGGTAATGGCATTCCGTGTCTAGTCACGCTGGCCACGTGACCATGGAATATTGTCTTTGGACAAACGCCAGCTCTATGGGTTCGAAACTGAGATGAGTACCGCCCCCTAGAGTCGGACACGACTGGACAAATTGTCAAGGGGAACCTTTGCCTTTACACCAGGCTTGTCCAACCTGCAGCCCAAGGGCCGCAGCGGCCCAGGTCAGCTCGTAATGCGGCCCAGTGCAGTTTTTTTAAAAAAGAAATTCCAAAGTTTCAAGTTACACTGCCGGTGCTAGCAGCCAGAATGTGGCCGGGGCATGTCACAACAGTAGAGGGAGAGAGAGGGAAGGAAAGAAGGAGTGGGAGGGGAGGGCACAGGGGGGCTGTTTGACTGCATTGCGCCATCCCCGTCAATAGGTGGACCCCCTCCCGGCCCCATAAAGCTGCCGGAGTCAAAGCTGGCAGCCTCTGCTGTCTGAGATCGCAGCTGCCGATAAGCGCACTTGGAGCAGGGCTGCGGAGGACGGCTAGGGCTGCCCCCCCATGCGGCCCAAACAAAATGTATATGTCGCCCAAACCAAGTTTTCATCTTCTAATGTGGCCCAGGGAAGGTGAAAAGTTGGACACCCCTGCTTTACACTATAGTCTTGGTCATTCTGCAGATTGTCATCAGAAGTAGAAGCAGAACCAATAGGAAGAGGAATGAATGTGGCACTGGACACTTGTGTCTTATAAACTTCCATCTTCCAGCAAATTCAAACTTTTCATTCTATGAGAGGATGCCTGTTTGTCCTCCAGCTAGCCAGAAAGAGACTAGATACCATTTGGGTGAAACAAGACCGACTATGTAAGATCTGCAGAGCTGTCATTTATGTGATCTTTATTTAAATTTCCTGCTGATCTTCTGGCGTCTCTCTTTCAGTCTCATTATGAGCTACTCCTAGCTGTAAATATAAACATAAATGGCTTATTACCAGGTAAGTCATCATAAGACCTTGCCATGCAGCCCTCAAAACTAAAGACGTAAATGATTCCTGAGATGGTCTCCCCTCCTCTCCTTGGACCCCAGACCAAAAGCATGTTGGGCAAGCCCCCTTTCCCTTCCAGTGTCACTGCCCAACACAAACCCTTCCGAGTGACCACCTACTTAGCCAAGCGCCACCCTGACTACCTGATGTCAGAGTCAGCAAAAACACCTTCCCCACCAGGGAAAGCTAGATGAGAAAGCCAGAATTCCTGCTCACCTAGTACAACCTTCACTGAAAAGAGGGTGGGTAAGATGAGCAAAGCATCAAGAGGCTGCTTGAACGATCCTTGCCTTGTGTGTTTCCGCCTCCAGTTGCCCACTTGAGAAGAAAAGCCAATGGTTTCCACCCCTCACTTGGCAGTCCTCTGAGCTGTGCCTCCAGAGGGTGAATGTTCACAGTTCCTCACAAAATTAATCAGAAAAATAGCAATGCTAAATACAAACCTACAGTCATAGTCCAGACACACTTTCTTGCATCTTTTGTAGTCAGCTGGCACAGATTTCTTTTGCTACTGCAGGAAAGCTTGTGGCAGTTGACAATGGTTGAAACTAATGAGTATGTACTTCTTTGGAGCTCTACATTGCCCATATTTCATGTTATGAGTAACAGTAGAGACTGCAAAGAACTGTTGGATGTGTTT